CCTAAACCCTAAACCGTAAAGCCTGAGACACTGAGACAAAATCTTTCTCCACTCTGGCCGATGTCTCCACTGCAGCCTCAGGAACCTCAAGGCCTGGACGCCCAAATCGGGGTCTCTGGGATTACGGATCTGTAGGGCTTAGTGGCTGAGTACCCTGGCCCCAAAAAAGGTTAACCATTATAGTAGGATTATAAGAGCCCCGAAAGGTAAAAGGTTACCTACTCAGCCACTAAGTAGGGCTTCGGGCTTATCTTGTTAACGCTGAGGGTGTCAGGCAGGGAATTTTAGGGTTTGGGGCTTAGGGTGAAAAGGGAATTGCGGCATGCTTACTCTTAGCCTTCGCCTCAGCCGATCAGATTTGCCCGCCGCTGGCGGAGATCAGCGAGTAGGCCTGGAGAGACAGAAATCCAAAACAACTCCCACCCTGCCCTGCGCCCCTAAACCGAGGCACTTTCGGATGTGGGGTTTTGGGGCTGAAACCCCTAGAACTACGCACCTCCCCCCTTCCCTAGGACCTAAACTCTATTTTTTCAACCCGGAAAAGTCCTTACACCCGACCCAAACCCTGAACTCCTGAACCAACTTACTCAACCTTCATGCCAAGAGCTTAAACTTCCAAAATCCGACATTCCTAAACCCCGTCGTCGAACAAAGCCAGAGGCATTGTAGAAGGCTTACAGAACCTATCGGGAACTCCTACACCCCAAACCCCGAAGCCTAAACCACTTGAAACCCCAAAGCCCTAAATCCGATAATCACACATCGTCTTCTTCTTACGTCTTCTTGTTGTACTCATCCACCATGCTCTTGAGGCCCGAGTCCTTCGTGTCTTCCCATCCGTCGATCGGTTTCCGGTCGAACTCGAAGAATATCGGGGACACCTTATAGTAGGCCTTATAGAACCCTTTATGGAACCCTTTTAAGGAACCACTTCTTTCTGAGCCTCCCATTCCGCAATCGTTTCCTCGAGGGAAAGAGGAAGCTTGCTCATGGCCTTCGTCCTCCAGATTCTTCAACGTCGCTTAGCGGCTAAACCCTGATAGAATGCTTGCTAGGAGCCTTCAACTGTAATTCTGCTAACCCCTCAGAAATTCAAAAGCCCAGGATAACAGTCAAAAGGGCTCGCGAACCCAACTTTGAGCGTTCTGGGTAACTTGACTGAAAGCTGGATGTTGAAGTAACCAGGGAGAAAAACAGTTTTGACTTCTTGCCGGCTCCTTTAAGGAACAGGCCCAAACAAAGGTATTCCTTTAAGGAACAGGTCCAAACAAGGGTATGAACATAAAGGATAGTACTCCAAACCCAGGAAAAGCTCTGTTGGCTCCCCACCGGCAAGGCTCTCCTCTACGACGTCTTGGGCTCGAAAGAATTGGCTCCCTGAGGTGGGCAGACGTCTGAAGCAGAAAGAGAGGGTTTAGGGTTTAGGGTTTAGGGTTCAGGATGTGGAAAGTGCTTTACAGGGCTTGTTTTTGTGTGCAGCTTGCAAAGAGTTTCTAGGGCTTCTAGTGTTTCTACAGGTGTTTTAACAGGACTGGATTAGGGCTCGCAGGGCTTCCTGCGGCGGCTCCGGTATTGTTGCAAGGGTTTAGGGTTTAGGGTTTAGGGTTTAGGGACCCTAAACCCTCAAATCCTCTTCTAGCTCAAACGGATGGAACCCCAGTAGGCTTGTTGGCAAAGAGCAGTGGCCTGCAACGTGCTCGTTTTCTGGGGGGGCCCATGTGGGCCCATGTTTCGGAGCTTTCTCGAGGGCTTCAAACACCGCCCCCAACATAAGACGTTGAGCCACTCAATTTGTTAAATTTAAGAAATCGAAATAGCCGTTTCTTAAGCGGTGGTGTCGCTGTACTTTGAGGGCCAGCCTTTATTTTTACAACTGCCACATGGAGATCTTGAAGGCCCTCTGTGCTAACCCTTTCAGCGCACAACCCTTTGAAACCAAAGCACCAAACTCCACAGCTTCGACCCCCCAAAAAGCTCTCTCTGCAAGGCCTTATCCTCAAACCCCCGAACCCCAGGGCCTGAACACCCGAAGCTCTCGAGGCCCCCAAGACCCGAAGCCGTCAATCCTCCAGAAGAATGAAACTGTTGCCCTCCTTTCAGTTGGGCTAGATAGTAGTTGGCATTACCATTCCAAGCAGGAAGCCGGTGGAATACTGCTATGACGTATTCAGGCTCTGCCTAAGCCCCAAACGTCCAAAACTCTAACCCATAAACTGCACAGCAATGAGCATCAACCTGAAGCTCCAAGAGCTTGTTGGATAAAACTATGAATCATGGGTCAGGCTGCTAATTATTCAGGCTTGTACATTTGTCCGCCCAAGTGCTAAACTATATAACTACCCCCGGGAGCCTAGTGACCTGTGTTGCTGGTTCCCTGTTTCTTGCCCCTGTGATGAATCTAAAGCCCTCCTTTCCAGTTCGTCCCCTAAACGGCAAAGGCACCATAGCCTAAGCTGCTGATGCCTCCTGGCAAGGAAAGCTCCCGGAGGACGGCAGCTGTCAAAGCTTGAACCTCAGGGCGAAGGTGGAATCTAGGGTCTTTACCCTAAACCCTAAACCCTACTTAAATAGGATTTTCGGGTTAAGACGTTCTGAAGTTTGGCATCTAGGGTGGACGAGGCAGCAAACTTGGCAGTCGCGGCTGGATGAAACACCTCTTGCAGCCAAGGGACACGCTGGCTGCAAAACATTACGAATTGTCTTGTGCTGAAACTGGGCCTTAAGGTTCAAGGCTTCGGGGATGTCAGAATTTCGGGGTTCAGGCGATAGGGTGCAGAGATCAGGGTTTAGGGCCCTAGGGCTTAAGGATTTGGGGTGTGCTAACGCCCCTACACCCTACCCCTACCCTCTTCATCACAGTAAGGCTCCTGCGGAGACCAGAAGCCCAAACAGAGGGGCAAGGATGGCGAGCCTCGACTTTTTAGAGCTCTCTTGTTGGTTCTTTTGGGTTCCTTGAAAGGGTTCCCCGAAAGGTTCCGATGCATGTTACTTCACTTTTTTTATTTTTTCTGGGTGGTGGGTTCCCCAAAAAAGTACCTTCAGGGCGATAAGGCTTAGCTCGTAGCTGTCAGAGAAATGGTGGAAGGGTTTCGGGGCTGCAGACTGGGGCTTTGGGGTTTGAAGGCGTGAAGTTGGGCTTTTCATCTCAATCAGTTTGGGGGCTAAAAGTTGAGCGTCTTAGGGCTTCGGGTTTAGTCTTGGGGTGCTGAGATTGCGGTTCTGGGGTGTAGCATGGGTTGGGGGACAGGCTTTGGGATTCAGGATTTCAGACGGGGTTTCGGGGATAAAGTCCAATTCCAATGGTCTTGTCGGTGTTGGCTAAGGGTGTTTGCCACTTGGTCTCACCAAGTGGCTCTAGAATGCAGAGTGGTGGGCTTTTTGTAGGGTTCAGGCTTGTGGTACCTGGCTTAAACTTGGCTCTTACACAGGTTGAGCGGGTAGTGTGTTTGCACGTAGATAATTAGAATAGAGTTTTGGGGTATATGATATAATAATAATAATAATAAGGAACCCCCCCATAATAGTCTTGGTATTCATTAAGGCCCCGATGTTACCCAAGACCTGGGAGTCTGGGGCTCTGCAGCAGAAGCCTGCGAAGCCACCAATATATCATAATATAGTGTGAGGTGCAAAGCATATGATAACACAGGGTTTTTTGCATACAGAATATCATATATAATATAGACGAAAAACTCTATAACATATGATATACAGTATCGAATAGATGCTTTACAAATAGACGTACTAAAGATACGACAAGACAATCTCAACTCCCAGATGCGTAGCCCTACAAAACTGCTAAGCGTGATCAGCCCGAATTGTTGTGAGCCATGGAGCCTAAACTCACCATCCCAGACTCTCAAACCCTAAACCCCTCACAACTCTAAACCTCCACACTCTTAAACCCCAAAGCCCTAAACGCCCTGAACCCTCAAATCCTCAATCCCTGAACTCGAAGACGCGACTGCTCGGGGTGCAGCAGATGACCAGGCTTGCTTGCTTCGAACGCCTGAAGGGTTGGGGTCTCAGTGCTCAGGCTTTCGGTTGTTTTGGGTGTAGTATGAAGGCTTTAATGATTAAGCGTAGGGTTCTGAGGCTAGATGATAGCATGTTATAGTAAGGAGAGCCCCAAGGAATCATGTCGGTGATGATTCCGACCCCTATAGAAAGATTCAGGGTATGAAGCTATTTTGGGAGCTACAGGTAGGGCCCAGGGAAGGGGGGGTTTAGGCTTTAGGGTACCTGAGCGTCTTCGGTTTTGGTCCACGCTTAGAAGTTCAGGGTGTAGGGTTGCGCAACAAGCTCCATGTAAAACTCTGCAAAGATCAGAATGCATCTGAGTCACAGCATTGGCTATGACGGCCCGTTCCGAGGAAACACGGCAACCGCCGAGGACGATGAATTTCTTCATCCTCTGCACCGACTCCTTCAGATCAACTCGAAGTTGGCCGCCATGCTTTCGATGACGGCTTTTGTTCACCGATGAGACCTCCTCCTCGAGGGCGAGGTCATGGGTGTCGTCCAGGAAAGCAAGCACCATCGTATTGGGTGGGAACGAGGGTGATTTGCTAAAGCCACAGACCCGAAGCCCCACAACTCCAAGCCCTAACTCCTTAACCCCTATACCACTGACTCGTTAAGATGGGTTTCGGGCTCGATTTTCCAATACTTAGGATGAGGATCTCAGGAAAATCATCTTGCAAATTGTTCAGGCCCCTAGAGTAAACGCTGCTGAAGCCCACAAAACCGTACAAAAACAAGCCAACACAACCCAACCGAAACCCCTAATCCCGAAACCCCCAGCTCCCGAAGCACCGAAACCCTAAAGCCCCAAGCCCCAAAACCCTCAGAATAGCCCTAAACCCTAAACTGGGCCTAAAACCCCAAAGCCGTTAAACTCTTCCGGATCCTCGGCTCCCCCACGCGGCGGCCTCGAAACCAGCAAGCCCGGCTCCCAGCAGGAGGAAAATCGACAGAGAGCAGGTGCCGAAGACGCCTCAGGATTTGCGGGTTTCCGAAAACAGGGGACCCTGTCATAGTACCCTAAATAATGGGATCCTTATTACAAGGACCCCAAAATAAGGTATCCCTACTTGTCGGAAACTCCTATTTAAGGGCTTAGGGTTGGGGCTTACGATGTAGGATGTTGGGTCTGGCTTTGGGGTACTAGGGTCCTTGTACCAATGAGACTTGTACTTAGTCCCACTGTCTTGGGTCCATGTTAAGGTCCCTAACTTCCTGAACCTAACCGAAACAGAGATTTCGAACCGATATCTCGAAACCCTGAAAGACGCGGGCGGGTCATCGGTCCTGAAACGCAGATGTAACCTTGAACATGAGACTGTTGGGGCGGAAGGTTGGGGTGGATGGGCGGTTGAATCCATCCTTGCCTCAACTACTCAACTTTGAGATCCTTGATGCAGACACCAGCCCCTGAAGCGCATAATTTCGCAAGCCTCTACCCTAAATCTCACGTCTACCAACACAAAGACACCGACACCGGGCGGCATCATCCCTGGTTACGCCTCGTCTTCAAGCCACGTTCAGCCCTAATGTAGGGGCCTGAACAACTAGAATAGGGTTTCGGGGCCCACTGTACTATATTTATAATCAAAAACCACCGAAAATGGTATAGGTAATTATTTAGGCCCCTATTTTAAACCGGCGGTTCCTTATCAAAAAATTATAGTATAATGGGCCCCAAAACCCGATTCTAATTGTTACGGCCCCTACAGAAAAACCCTAAACCCTAATCCCTGGTTACGTCTCCTCTTGGAGCCGGGCTTTGGGTTTTGCAATTTCGGCCCTCCCAGCGCCCGAACCCCCAAGATGCACAAGAGGGTTTAGGGTTTAGGGCTTAGGGTTTGGGTTTTTAGGGTTTCAGGCTTAGGGGTTAAAGGCTTAGGGCTAAGACTTAGGGTCGTTTAGGTTTAGGGTTTAGGCATAGGGCTTGGGAGGAAAGAAATGCTGAATGGCAGATCTGCCGAAAAGCTAGACATCGGAATCAGCGAGCCATAGAATCCAAGATCCTGAGCGTCAAAACCCCTCCACCCAAGTCTGAAGCCCTTTAAACAGCTGTTTACATGTTCTAAAGCACCCATTTAAAGCAAAACTTCTAAACTACTCTAAAGCACCGATAAACAGCCCTTCAAACCATGTTGAAACCACCCTGAGCTCGAAATTAAGTCGTATAGCAGTGAGCATGCTGAAGCGACACACCCCAAACCCCAAACTCCCAAAACCCTGAAACCAAAAAACCCTGACTCACAAACCCTTTACCCTGATTTTTAACACCGAAACATAACCTGTGGCCCAAAAACCTCTACACCCTAAGCCCCAAACACTAAACCCCTACTCACTAAACCCCAAAGCCTGAAAACCTCCATTAAGCTGAAGCCTAAACCCCGCATTCCGTATCCCCAAGCACTTAAAGCTCTCGACGGGCTCCCGGACCCAAGAGCAGAAGATGCGCCGCAGGAAACTTCCGCTGTGCCGCAGCGAGACGCGAGGCCCGAGCCTCAAAACAGGTTTCCTCCTACGGGCTCTTTCTAACGGCTCCTTTCAGGGCTCTTTTCAAGTCTCCGTTTAAAGATTCTTATAAGCGCTCTTTTTAAGGGTTCCTTTTTTATGGTCTCCTTTAAAGAAACAGGCACCTAAATAACTTGGCACTGTACTGCTTGAACAAGTGCATCTCGTGGCCATGCTGCTGTTGATGATCATGAATATGCGGATGATGATGATAATAAACATCGGGATGGTGATCGTCGTGGTCGTGCCACGGCAGTAAAGACAAAAACAAGTAATGCTATCATGACAACGATATGTTGATAATGATCAAGACAAAACAGGTCATGCTATCTGGATACTGATACTCACCTTGATGCTAAGTATGCCACTGATAATTCGGATGATAATCGTCGTTCTACTGATCACGGATAAGGTAATGACAATGATGACGTTCACGAATACATAATCATCATCATCATCATCATCATGATTCTAATGATAGTGCTGACTGACGTTCACGAATACATAATGAAACAATACCCACGGCCTTTGACAACTTCCGGTATGGAGTGCACTCCACGGCGCCGGTTACCGTCTGGTTGTCGTGGAATGCTCGCATTCGTCTGCTGCCAGCGGGTGAAGAAATCGATGTCCTCTCTGTTTCTTCGCTGCGCTGTCTTCGGAGGAGGAGCCTGAAGCCAAGAACTCCAACGGTGAGCCGGTGGATGTGGCTGGTGGACATACCCATGCCTGTCTCATTCAATGCCCAGGAACAGCATTGACCGGTGGTGGCAGACTGCACAGGACTTTCTTCCTGCAGCTCTCCATGCCAAGCGTGGCAAAGAGATCAATCCTGATTTGTTTCGATACTTGTTTGCGTTCGTCTGGCGGTACCAACTGCCGCTTGCGCAAGATTTCATCCAAGCTATGGCTGACATTTCATGCTTCGTCCTGCTGTTCTGATCTCCATTTTTAAGCGAAACATCATCGCGGCTTGTGTGGATGTTTCGACACTACTCTATGCTTTTTCTTAAGTGTCTGGTTGTCAGATTAGCCACCGAGTTCCAAACACAATGTGCCCAAAACCCGAGCAAAAAACATCTCGCATGCGTTAAGTCTCCAGGTTTTCTGCGTGTCGAAAGGTCCCTTTAAGTGCTCCTTTAGGGGTTCCTTCTGAAGGTTCTGGTCATGGTTCCTTGAAGGGCTGCTTTGAGGGTTCTTGTTAAGGGCAAGGGGGCCCTATCAGGGTTCCACAGGGGCTTAGGGCTTGGGGCCTCCGAGGATTTAAATCATCTACGTCTCCAAGTCTTCGGGCTTTCGCTTTCTAGGATTGCAGGTTGTAGGTGTAGGATATGAAGTAAGCTTCAGAGTTCGGAGATGCGTCGTGGCATGGCTTGCCTTGGCTTAGTGTTACTTAGGCTCTCCGTTATGAGCCCAGACCCACAGCCCTATTCTAAGTATCATGAGTTTAGAGTTTAGTGTAAAAACACAAGAGAATTCTCATGGGCTAAGTCGTTTAGCTTAGGAGCTGAACATCGGAGCACATTCCGCAGCCCTCAAATCACCATCCTGAGCTGACAGCCCTAAACTTCAAACTCCAAAATCCCCCCCCCTCCCCTCCCGCCCGGCGATCCAATCCAAGACCCTGATACCTGAACCTGCGACCTTAGACCCTAAAAACGGAATCAACAACCCCCAAACCTAAATCTTAAACACTTAAACCTAGAACCGAAAACCAACAATCCCTGAACCTGGTTCAAGGTTGAAATGGCTAATATAGGGGCCTTAATAATTAGAATAGGGTTCTGGGGCCCTTCATGGTACCTATTTAGGCCCCTATAGTGCACTCTCCCCTCTCCCCAAGGCCTGCCGGATGGCACGGACGGAGCTGCTGACTCCGGACCTTCTGGGTTAGGGTTTAGGGTTTAAGTTTTATCGGGTTTCGGACTATGGAGATTTGAGGGACCTTAGGGATCTTGGGTTTAGGATTCTGGGATTCTACTAGGCTTTGGGGTTTAGGCTGCAGGGCTTAGTGCTTCTTGTTCGGGTCCGGGTATCATAAACAATCCGGCAAAATAGTATTGGTAATTATTCAAAGCCCTACATTAGACTTCTTGACCCATACGACTCACACTACAGAACCGGCTGAGTGAGCGAGAGAACCATGGGCACACAGCGCTGTGTGGACAGCGCTGTGGGGCCACGAATGAAGGCACCAAGGCCATCGCAACAACCTTCGGGATGGTATATTTCAGTATATTATGGTATCTTTTACAGTATCTTATAGTATATTGTTGTATATTATGGTCTATTATACTCTGATTGTTTATTATTGTCTACTATTATACTATTACGGTAAGGAAATCCAAGCGCTCCTGAAAGTCTGAGGCGAGTTCGTACTGGAACAGGCTTCGGGCCCTCGTGGGTAGCGAAGGCTGGAAGATCCTATCGAGCTGGACTCGATCTGAGCCAGCTTACTGTAGAAGCCTTGATGATTAGAATAGGGTTTGGGGCCCATCATACTATATTTATAATAAGGAGCACCCAAAATAGTAGAGGTAATTACATAGGCCCCTACATTACTGTCTATGTCTTCAGACCCTACATTACGCCGAGTTACCCGGGCCCTTGGCCCGACAACTCAAGAGATCAAGTTCCCCACGCAAGACCCTGAGAACGAACGCTCCTGAGTCTGATGAGGGACATTGAATCGAGCTTACCTGCAACCGAAAAGACCTACCCTTTTTGAGGAACTTTGGGATTTGTCTTTAGGGTTGCACTTTTCTTATTGGTCTCTATAAACTGTTTAGGTTTCAGAACTTAGGTAACTTGTAAGCTCTAAACTCTAAACTTCACAAATAATGTATGGGATCTACAATTACATAGTTGTAATAATATCCCTTGCAGCAACTTGACAGTTACAGCAAAACCGCTACACCAAACCCTGTTCTAAGTAGCAAGGCCACGGTTCTGATAGGGTCCATATCTCCTCCTAAATTAATTGAGACAGAGCCACCCATCCGAAAGCCGTCGCTGCGGGAGTTAAGTGTGTAGGCTTCTGAGACCCTAAGACCGCAAGACGTCTGCGCGATGTGAGCTGGGTCCAGCGTGGCTATTTGCTTCCAGTCCGACGGTAGGGTTTACGGTTTCGGGTTTAGGGTATGGGGTGACATACTATATGCCGGATCGCGTCCCTTCTTCAAGGGTTGAAGCATTCGAGGGTTTCGACTTTTTGCGCTTTCAACGACGGGTGTGTAGAGGCCATAATTCGGAGGCTTCAAGTATGCCTCAAACGCATTAAGCAGACTCCCCGGTGAAGAACTCCTTGGCATTTTCTCTGGGGTATACCTCGGCCAGGGAACCCAGTCCGAAATCCACAATCAACCGAGCCTGAATCCCGAGTTACACCTCGAACGATACCCTGAGTCCTGAACCCTAAACCCTAAACCCTACACTCCACGCTCCCAGCCCAGCTAGGCCCAGCTGAACTTCGAGCAGCTCGGGATCCACACGGGACGCCCACGGAGGTCGCGAAAAGGAGAGACTCCAAAGGATCGGGCTCGGGACCTGCTCCAGAAAAGGGTTTTCTCAAGGTTTCTGGGATTTTCGTAGGTTCTTTCACTGTGTGTGTTTCATCATTTTTTTATTCCGGTGTTATATGAACAATTACAAGTTTGTCAGAAATGGATTTAGCCCTCAATTGCTGGCTCGAAAGTATCTTCGCTGACTGAGGGCGCTAGGCTTCCTGGCTTCATCATGTAGGACGCGTTTACGTTTCTACCGCATAAACGATACCCTGAACCCTAAATCCTAAACCCTGAAACCCTAAAACCCTAATCATAGCGGTGAGATCTAGCAAGAGCCCTGAAACTGACCAGGCAGGCCACTAAAGCCTAACTGCAGAGGTCCGTATGAAGCCCTTGGTCTGAACTTCTTCTGCGAGTGTGCCGTCTGGACCCGGGCTTCATTACCAGGAGGTTCATGGGTAGTTATAAGTTTGGTTTTAAGTCCCCTAATATGGGTTATAAGTATAGTTATCCTACTTATGACAATATATATAACTACCCATGAACCTCCAAGTAGGGGTTGAATCTACGGCGATGTTTGGCTAGATGAAGTGCATTGCTGCATGAGTATTCTGACTACGATTGTCATTAATGTAGGCCCCAGAAAGGGTTTCGGGCTCAAGTTGTACAGCTGATAAGTTTTCGGAGTTGGAGTCTTATAAGCTAGTGCGGAAGGCCCAAGTACTCCACACTATGTCTGTCTAGTAGCCTGGTAGCCTCCGACATCTCGAGAAGCCCAGATCGAGTTATCGGATTCACGTTTTGCAGCACATTGTACGCGTTGCCTTCGACCCCCAACCCTAAACCCTAAACGCACCTTTTGCCACAATTCTCGCGCGACTTGGGGATTCGGGAATCCGGGTACCGTAGGGTCGTGGGTTTTACAACGCCGGTTGCAACACATCCTTTGGGTTGCCTTACTCCATAAAGATATTATTAGATCCTGGTCAAAGCGTTTATGGAAGCAGGCCTCTAGAGGGGGGCGGGTAGCTGAAAAAGGGCCCAAGTAGCCCTGTAGTCATGAAGCCGAGCGCTCTCTCAGAGCTCAGGGTTCTCGATTGCAGCCTTAGGAAAGGCTCGGTGTTTCAACGTTGTCATACACCCTAAACCCTAAACCCTAAACCGTTGAAGGAATGGGGTTTGCAGAAGTGGATGTCCGGCTTCATCGGCTCTGGCGCATAAGATAGAGGAGGGTTCAGAGATTCCGAAATTATTGGATTTACTTCCACATGGTGTTGCTTGTGGGACGTGCAACAAAAAGTCGTCGCTTGAGGCCACCTCAAACCACAGCGAACGATTTCTCGTTTTTATTCACATTAAAAGAAACTCAGGCCAGACACCACATCATCTGCATCATCCAAAATCCGCCGAACCGCGTGCCCAACGTGAGGCAGTTAACCCAACGTAGTTTTGGCATCATCGGAGCATCAGCAAATGGGCGCGGACTCACTCCCGAGCACACCGAGCAGCATGCTCTTTACTAATTACGACAAGCAGTTGCCGAGGTGTGATACTGAACAGCACCCAGAACCCTAACAGATCATCGGCACGGCTCTGTGAGCTCGTGAGGCAAGCTCGAGTAGCACCGCGAGGTAGAATTACGCTTCTCTTTCGTCGCTCCACAACAGGCAGCAGCACCACCTCCTGGAGGTGAGGATCATCCGGAGCAGTCTTGGCTTCAGCCCATGCGCTTACAAGAGCCAGGCACATCGATCGGCGAGCATCAAAAGCATCAGCTGAAACATCCTTTCGAACAAACAGCTCACAAGCACCACCATCAACAACAACTATGGGCAACTTCCCCGCCCTACCCAAACAGTCCGGTTTGCAGGCTGATGCTATTTGTGCTCGCTATGCCCGCTTGGCAGGACCTGCGAAATTATGGCTCCGTTTCCCTTTTAAAGGTACGCAAAACACGTATCTGTTGCAGATCCCTGTGCAAGGAACAGCAGGCTCGTAGCTGCTTGGAAGTCAGGGTTTAGGGTGTCGCCAACAACTCCAAGCCCTTGGCCCCCAATTGACCCTTGGCCCCCAATTGACAAGCGAAGACCGCTCAAACCTGCGAAAGTGGCGCCATTTCTGCCACAGCGGCCTAGTTTGCGATCAGAGAGACCACCCTGGATGCCTGGGAACCAAGGGGACAACACAGGGCTTCCCGTCGGATCAGGTCGCGTTCATAAATTTCGAGCTTGGGATGGCTTTGGCTTTCCAGGCAAACGAGGCTCGGCCTTGATAATTATGTATACTATTTTGGGACTCCTTAATGTACTTATGTTATAATGGGTCCCGAAACCCTACTCTAATTATAAAGGCCCCTATAGTAAATGTAAAGTATGCCTTTTCGTCCGGGCCGTGTTCTTTTTATTCTGGGGTCTCGGACAAGTCCTTTTCTTGGATCCTTAGGATTAATGTAGGGGCCTTTAATAATAATCAGAATAGGGTTTTGTGGTAAAATTGTGCTTTAATTATAGCAAGGAACCCCCAAAAGAGTATAGGTAATTATGAAGGCCCCTATATTAGGGATTAGGGCCCTATACCCTAAACCCTAAACCCTAGCTTTCAGGGAAATGAGCCCGTCTCTGGAAGTCAACATCAGGGCTCCGAAGCCCTGACACTTAGGATTAGGGGGACCCTTTGGGCCCTCGTTTAGGGTTTAGGGTTCAATAAGGTCCCCTTTAAGAGAGCCATCAGTAGGGTTAGATAAGAAGGGTGCCCTTTAAGGGGTCTCCCTAATACCACTTAGGATCATACGGACGGTAGGTTACAGCGGTCGCTAAGCACTCCTCCTGTCTGGGACCCTCGGGCTAAACCGCTGCGAATGTAGAATTTCCCGACGGTTTAGGGTTTAGGGTTTAGGGTTCTTCTCCTAGCGTACTATAGGTCTCTGAAAGGTTTCCAAGAGGGTTTGGGGTTCGACTATACTTGCAGCCTTCAGGAATATTCAAAAAGTCCTGGCCACTAGTCAGGCTTCTAGATTACAGTGAACTGAACCCATCCTCTGCTCGGGAGTTTCAGAATGGCAGCTGAAGCATCATGGCCCTAGACTCAAATCCCTAACCCCAGCCCCAAATCCCTGGAAATGAGTCTACGAAGAGCCGCCCAACCCTAGAATTTTGAATCGTGGTCGCGCGGTCGGATAGCGGGCTTGAGGAGATAAGCGATAAAGCAGCATGTTGTGCCCATACACTCCCAACACTACTAAATTGCCCTGCAGCTTTAAACCTAATTCTGAAATCCTGAACATTACGGTCTAACTGGACCCTTGAGGGAGGTTGCAGGGATGAGGGTCTAGCACTTCATGTTCAGAGTGTAGGGTTCGGGGTTTAGGTGCTACAAAGAGGCTACAGGTGCACGAAGTGCTCGTCTGCGCTGTAAACTGACATTGTCTTGCTGCCGTTCCTTGATCTGGGCTGCTATGTTAGTAGCCATAACAAGACTCTGGCAAGGGAGAACCCCCCTAAAACCCTAAGCTCGAACTCCTAAACTCCTAAACCCCCAACAGCCCTAATCCCTGAATTGCAGATGCCACGACCCTGGGCAGTCCTATGCATGTTTACGGTTTGTGGGGTTTACGGTATGTAGGTCTCCGTGTAGGTGTGTGTCTGAATGCCCGGCTGCATGTCGTATGTAGATGTAGACGCGTGCGCGCACACACACATGTTCAACATCAAGAGATAGGACTTATCACCATCTATCTTCTCATTACATATGTGTTTCTCGATGTACTTCTCATTCTAAGCAGTGAACCCGAAAGCTCCACTTTGTGTCTGATAGCATCCGGAAAACCCCAAACCCTGGAATGATTTTCGAGTCAGGCCATGGAGGGCTTATCGTGAAATTCTGTCTATGGGGTGGATCTGTGTGCTATCTTCAAGCAGACAGATGTACTATAGTATAAGGGCCTTAATAATTAGAACAGGGCTTTGGGGCCCATTATACTATAATTACAATAAGGAGCCCCCAAAATGATACAGGTAATTTTTGAGGCCCCTGTATTGTAGCCTGGAAGGAGTATATTTTTCTACACTTATACTACAATGATGATTACTAAGAAGCCCCCAAAACCCAATTCTAATTATTAAGGCCCCTATATTAAGGTCTGGGCGGGAGGTACAGGACAGTGCGTCCGGAAAGTTGCTGGGGTTTGTGCCCTAAACCCCTAAACCCCCAAGCCCCTAAACCCCTAAATCCTAAACCCCTAAACCCCAAGCCTCTAAACCCCTAAATCCTAAACCCTAAACCCCAAGCCCCGAAACCCCTAAATCCGAAATCCCTAAACTCTAAGCCCCCAAACCCTGAACCCCTAAACCCCTAAATCCCAAACACTAAGCCCCCAAACCCTGAACCCCTAAACCCCTAAATCCTACACACTTAAACACTAAAGCCCCCCAAACCCTGAACTCCTAAAACCCTCAAACCCTGTACCCCTAAGCCCCCAAACCCTGAACGCCTAAGCCCCATAAACTTTTGACCCCTGAACTTCGACTCAGGGCTTCTCGGCATACAGACAGTCAACTTCAATCAAGTCCCTTTAACCCCAAAGCTCAACATCTTTAGGGTTTAGGGGTTTAGGAGCTTAGGGGACAAGGTTTTAGGGCTTAGGGGTTTAGGGTTTAGGGTTTAGGGTAGCCTGAAACCAAAAACTCTAAGCCGGCGCGCCAATCACACATGACAGTGCCGGCACAACCCGGCAATCCAAAAAATCCGAAAATGGAATCCAGGGGGCTTAACAAGAATCATACCGAAGACAATGATTGGAGTAAGGTCGTGGCACATGTTGGAATATAATAATATACATGTATAGGGACTGCGAGGAGATATTCTCCAGGATTGTTCAGCTTTATGCATGAAGAGCATTTATTCACACTGATTTCCAGTGCGAGACCTTCGCAGTCCGTGGTCAGGTTTTGTCCTTTCCAAGGCAACCTAGTCCCGCATTGTGCTGAGAGCCGCTTTGGTGGAGATTCCAAGACCCTGAAGCGAACAAACAAGACTCCAAGCGATGCCAAAGCAGCCCTTAACCCTAAACCCCTGAATTCCTATACCCTAAACTCGAAACCTCAAACTGTAGACCCCATAAGCCAAGCCCAACCTTGAGTCCAAACCCCTAAGCTCTAAACCCTAAACTCTATATCCCAAGCTTGAAGTCCAAATCCAATGCTACCACAAGCAACCACAAAGAACCCGGACCTGATACCTTAATCTTTGGAATCAGAACCATTATTACAACATTTCTACCATGCAGTAAGGTCTAAGCTTTGGTTTTGGGCTCAAGCTTTTAGGGTTCATTGGTTTGGGGTCCTGGTTCTAGTACAGATGACGGGCATAAGAGCAAATTAAGACAGAAGAGAGTACTGAACCGCATGGATGCTGGTAGCAAGCCGTGGTCGTTCAGTGATCCCCAGGGTGAAACGGTATACTCTGGAGGTTAAGTGTAAGATAATCGGAACCCAGATCCCCAGAAGCCGAAACAGGGAAATCTTGTACCGCATACCACTGAAGGGTCGTCCCAGAAAACCCTTACAACACTCTATCGAAGCCCGTTTGGCATCCTTCTCAAGCGCGGCTGAATCTTTATAAGACCCTGCACAACTCCCCGTAACCCTAAACCAAAACATCCTAAAACCCTAAACCAAAGCATCCTAAAACCCTAAACCAAAACATCCTAAAACCCTAAACCAAAGCATCCTAAAACCCTAAACCAAAACATCCTAAAACCCTAAACCAAAACATCCCAAAATCCCTAAACCAGAACATCTCAAAATCCCTAAACCAGAACATCCCAAAATCCCAGGAGGGAATCGCTGCCCAGATACTGGGACGGCGACCAGCGATGCCGAACGATCGGTGCTCGCCAGCAGGCTCGCACGGACGCTTCCTTCCTGAGGGCTTGGGGATGTAGGTTTAGGGTTTGGGGTTTAGGGTTTAGGGTCTAGGGTTTAGGGTTTAGGGTTTAGGGTCTAGGGTTTAGGGTGTAGGGTTTAGGGTTTGGGGTTTCGGTTTAGGATTTGAGGGCGTTGAGCTTTGCAGTACGACTTCGTGGTCTCTGAGTACAGCGGTGTTCTGGCTTGGGGCGAACCAGCTGTCTATGTGTTGACGTGCACAGGGCTCGGGGGGCAGAAGTTTCGGGGGGTGGGGGTGTGCTTGGCGAAGAATGTAGAAGCCTTAATAAATAGAATAGGGCTTGGGGTATATTATGCTGCAGTTCTAATAAGGAACCCCCCCAAAATAGTATAGGTAAGTATTAAGGCCCTCATAACACAGCTTGGGGAGAGGAGCCGTAGAAGCGATGTGCTGAAGACGTGGCTCGATAATCTGGTCACTGCTTGCAACTAGAATCGTCTTCCTTCGGGGTTCCTTCTGGGTCTAGGGTTTAGGCTTCCTCATAACTACATATTATACTATACTACCCCCCCAAGACCCTATTCTAATTTTTCAGAAAGCCGCTGCCTTATGGTGGATTCTTTGCTTGTTTGATTTGAGCCGCCTCCGGCCGGGCCCCTGGCAATGAAGGGCTACAGCAAGCTCAGCACACTCTACGAAGGCACAACTGCTGTCCAACAGGCTGCGAAAGATCATCCAAGCGATGTAGGGGCCTTCATAATTAGAGTGGGGTCTTGGTGTATATTATACTAGATTGATACTAAGGAACACCAAAGAAGTTTTGGAATTATTTGGGCCCCTAGATTAGAAAGAAGAACCCTTCACCGCAATTAAAACTCACTCACTCACACGGCCTCGGCCCACGTCAGAGGTCCGAGCTAGAAACTCTTGGTGTCAAGCATGACTTTCAATCCTAAATCCTACACCTCTAAAACCCTAAACCCCTAATTTCTGAATTCCTAAGCCCCTAAACCCTCAACCCCCTTAAAACCCTTAAACCCCTAATCTCTAGACCCAAAAAGCCCCAAGGACTTGGGGCAGCCACCCGCTGAGCCGGCGGTGCAGCCGTCGACTCCTTCCTTGGGGGGACGGTGCTTAAGATCAGGTGAATATCAGAGAACATCGTATTCAGTATTCTGTGGTATTCTGCTCCACTAATGTATATTTTTTGTATTATATTTTATGGTGTTGTAGCGTATTACTGTAGAAGAAGTACGTTGTTGTTTTATGAAGATCTTTCCTGGCTCTCTAAATTATGGTCCCTTGTGGGGTCTTTTTCATAGGGGTGTCGTACTACTTCTGGGGGCCCTAATTTAGAGAACTACCCCTAAGGTGAATAATTAAAGCAGGGTTTCAGCATAAAATTACAAAATGACTCTTGCAAGAGGATACTGTACTGGTACAATTACAGGTGGCAAGGACCTTTGTGCTCTGTTTGGCTGAGCCGTCTTCTTATGATTATGGTTTACTTGCATTACTTAACTCAATGGGTTAACACCCCTCAAACCTTGTGCAAGTCCAAGTTTCAAGCCGGGTCGAATTAACAATCAACCAACAATCCACACACACACATACGCACGCACACAAGACAGCATGATCCGAGGGCCAATGCCGACTGAATGAAGCGGTTCTCGCTTGGCCACCCTCTTTGGGCTGCCCAAGGCTTCTGTTGGGAACAGCTGGAGGTGGGTAGCGGCCACGTTAGGCGTCTCAACTCCAAAATCCCAGTCCAGGTCGTCTCTGTAAACGAAGTGCGGAGACTTCGTCCAGATCGTCGCGGGCGACGGAGCACGTGTCAGCCGTTCGGGTGGTAGCTCTGCAGAGTGGCATGCTTCCTGGACTTCGGGCCTAAGCCCTAAACCCAAAAACCTAATTTAGGGGTCAAGGGTAGCTCTGACTTAAGGATGACAAAGTCGGGCAAGACAGTGCAGACAGCTAGTATTTCTATTCGACTATTCAGGAGAGTGTTACGCATACTAAAGTATTAGTATGGTTACGATTATGAGTATGATTGTGATTATTTGTATGCTTGCTTTTTCTTGCTGTTGCCTTTCTTGTTATTGTTTCCATTTACAGTTTTATTAGTGCTGCGATTATACCCCCTGAAGCCGAGTTCCTGACTTCTCAAAGACCCCTTGAGTTTAAAGGTCCACCTTTCAGGCAGCATTCAGCCACATGACCATCCCGACAGAAAGGCAGTTGAAGCTGAGGCCTTCGTAAACCCTAAACCCAAAACCCCTAAACCCTTAAACCCTAAACCCCTAAACCCTTAAACCCTAAACCCCTAAACCCTAAGCCCCTAAACCCTAAGGGTTTAGGGTTTCCATGTTGTTGCGTCCATCATGAAACCTGGATCCTACATTTCGCAACCCATAACCCCAAAGTCGCCCCGAAATCTTGAACCAGAAACACCAGGAGCCCTAACAAACCCCAAGCTCCGAACCTCTCAACCTAATGTAGGCGTATGATTGCACCCTAAACCCTAAACCCTAAACCCCTAAATCCTAAACCCCTATAAACCCTAAACCCAGATTTTTGGAATATGTTGGGGTAGATTATCCTCTAATCATGAGAAAGCCTAAGGGCCAGTACCGACATGACTCTGGCTGCTGTATTGCATGGTCTGGGATTGAACGGTGACTGCAAGGCCAGCCGACTCAAAAAAGGAAACCCTGATTTCCCGAAACCGAAACCATGTCTCCATGTTGTGCAAGTGCACCAAACCACCTATGGACATCGACAGAAAGCCTTCTCTTCGTCTCTGTGTTTCGATTGGGACCGGACTTCTTCTCAAGCCTACCACGTCGGGACCCGTACTCCAAATCCATTCTTTTGATCAATATACAACCCTTATATATCCCGTGCCAGTGAGGTTTGGGGAACCCTGACCATTTTCTTTTACTTTTGACTTTCCAAACCCAACAGAACTCTTCAAGCAATGGCCAAACTGATGCGCCGAAGCTTCAAAGACAAGAAGAGGAGGAGGGCGATTAACGCGACGATGCAGTTGATGTAATAGAAATACCTGAGATGAACGCTAAGAACATCTCCTGAAACATAGTATCCTTCGTACAACCACCACAATACACCCTTGAGCAACACACAAACTCGGCAACACCGCACCGAAGTCTAGACCCGACTGTTCTGCTTGATCTTGGAATTAAGGAGCCCTCTGCAATAGCTTCCCAAGTGAGTCATGAAGGTCTGCTAGGTTATTTCAACGGCCTCGCTGGATGAACAAAGCCGCATATAAGGTCTTTTGGACCAAACCGATCATGATGGAACCCCTGTAAACAAGGGCGCAGCACTCACCAATGTCAGAATTAGGGAAAGGACCTCGTCCCAAACATGCACAGGGCTTCGCAACATTGGGGATCCGTTTTGGGGGTCGCTTCCATTCGGGATCCGATTATTTGGAGCTCGAGTGGTGCGCAGTGGTTTAGTGTTGATCTTCTGGGTCATATGGGCATTCCATGAAGCCGGGAAATGCTAGATGCTCCCCCCCCCAAAGCCCTGAACCCTAAACCCAAAGCCCTGAAGCCTCAACCCTA